AAAACATATTGATTATTTGCTTGTCGGAATTGTTACCTTTTGAAAATCAAGTGATAGCACATTTAGCTTTAGGATCAACTTTATTTCATCGCTTTCTTGCCTCCTACAACCAGATGATATACACATGTACTCACAGGCAAAAATAATTCATGATATGAATTAATAAATAACTGAAACTATTTGTCTAGGCAAATAAATATAGTTGGATGCCGTTTTAAGGCGTATTAAGAGAAGAAGGTGCCCTCACGTCACAAATTGTCTTTCCTATTGAGTGCTGTGCGTCTCTAATGCCTGAGAAAAACACAAAAATATTGCCACGCAAAGTTTGTATAGAAAAAAACAACAACAGAATCTTGGGCCCGCTTGAAGAGAAAAATCTTAATTAATATTGTTCTGTAGAAACATGATAACAGTTACGTTTGCCTGTGACTGTACATGATTATATAATAGATTTGTTCGAAGCACTCCTAGAATATTAGCAATCACAGTGTATTCTGTATATACATCGGGAACTGTCGGTTTTTGTCCCATCTGAACCACATGGTGGTGTCATGGGTTACTCGGACTGTGTATTGTGTCCTGTTCATACTTTGTATTGACCAACAACTGACCGACACTCCGTCCACCTGTGCTTGATATACTTAGAAACTATAAATACGCAACACAACTTCACAAGTAATATACATAACTACATAGATACAGGAAACTGTTGCTTTTTAAATGTCCTTAGGGTATATAAGCGCGCTCGAATATCCAGTATTTCTACACACAAACTTGTCTACGCGTCTCCAAACATATTCATGTAACACGTTTTTTTTGTAACAATCATTTTAATTACCTCAAGCTGCTATACTGTCAGAGCATTCATACATGTAACTGCAATGATCTATAAAAGTAAGTATATGCTGAGCTGTTTTCGTCATGTGTCTGTATGTTGAATGATAGCCAAAGTGGTGTAGTGGATAGAGCGTCCCCCTTTTTATTTCGAAAAAAAATCTTTATTTCTGTATAAATTACCACCAAAGACAATAAATAGATCTTAATTGTGCACCCCCCCCCCCACCCCCCCCCCCCCCCTTTTCAAAAAAGCTGTATCCGCCCATCAATCAGGTTTAATCAGGGTGCTCACGTGATTTGATGCACATTGCGATGTAAGACCCGTTTTATCACAATATAGATCTTGATTATTGAAAATATCGTCTTGGCTGGGCGCCGCCATTTTGTTTGAAGCAAATGCAAGTGATACAAGAGGCGGAATCTGATTGGTCAATCGGAGAGACATAGAAGGGACACAACTCGTAATAACCACTGGTGGCGCTACGATCGAGCCCAGAAAATCCAGCCTAGTTCGGAAAGGGTGCAAACTGGACTTTTACAGTCAGTCAACACTCTTGCCTTCGGAAGATGCAGTATGCCACCCGCTATAACTAGATACACTTTCGAGGCCTCTTGGTAACTTATGCCGGTCATGAGAGGTCGAGAGATGACAAGGTGATTGGCTATAAACTCCTACAGCTGAAATATTGCTGAGTGTAACTGCTATAGCTGAAATATTGCTGTGTGTGAACTCCTACACCTGAAATATTGCTGAGTTGAACTGCTATAGCTGAAATAATGCTGAGAGTGAACTGCTACGGATGAAATATTGCTGAGTGTGAACTGCTATAGCTGAAATATTGCTGAGAGTAAACTGCTATTGCTGAGAGTAAACTGCTATAGCTGAAATATTGCTGAGTGTGAACTCCTATAGCTGATATATTGCTGAGTGTGAACTGCTATAGCTGAAATATTTCTGAGTGTGAACTGCTATAGCTGAAATATTGCTGAGAGTAAACCGCTATAGCAGAAAAATTGCTGAGTGTGAACTGCTATAGCTGAAATATTGGTGACCACAGGATGTATTTGCGATATTGCCGAGTAATATAATACGCCTTAATATAATTGTAATACAGTAAACTACGGTTATAACGAACTCAAAGGGACTATTAATTTTAGTTCGTTATAACCGTAGTTCGTTATATGTACATATACAGCATGACTACAGCAAGTAGTCGGGACCAAAAAGTAAGTTCGTTATATCCTTCAGTTCGTTATAAGCGTGTTCGTTATAACCGTAGTTTAGTGTATTGCTAAGCATGATAAAACTTTTATATTTCTCCTACTCAACAACTTACTCACTTACTCTACAGGCACAATTATTGGAGCCAGATGTTTTTTGTCATCATAAATGATTTGTATTAAAAACTATAAATGATAACGACAAATAATGTTTATCACATATCAACTCTCTGATCCAAATCTGATCTGGACAAAAAAGAATCAAACGTTTGTAAGAAGTATATCCGTCCTAATATGATCGTAGAACAAACATTTTGCGGAATTTCGTCGGGTTAGTTTGCTTTAAGTTGATCTCCAATATCTAATTTCCCCGAGACAAAACATATTGATTATTTGCTTGTCGGAATTGTTACCTTTTGAAAATCAAGTGATAGCACATTTAGCTTTAGGATCAACTTTATTTCATCGCTTTCTTGCCTCCTACAACCAGATGATATACACATGTACTCACAGGCAAAAATAATTCATGATATGAATTAATAAATAACTGAAACTATTTGTCTAGGCAAATAAATATAGTTGGATGCCGTTTTAAGGCGTATTAAGAGAAGAAGGTGCCCTCACGTCACAAATTGTCTTTCCTATTGAGTGCTGTGCGTCTCTAATGCCTGAGAAAAACACAAAAATATTGCCACGCAAAGTTTGTATAGAAAAAAACAACAACAGAATCTTGGGCCCGCTTGAAGAGAAAAATCTTAATTAATATTGTTCTGTAGAAACATGATAACAGTTACGTTTGCCTGTGACTGTACATGATTATATAATAGATTTGTTCGAAGCACTCCTAGAATATTAGCAATCACAGTGTATTCTGTATATACATCGGGAACTGTCGGTTTTTGTCCCATCTGAACCACATGGTGGTGTCATGGGTTACTCGGACTGTGTATTGTGTCCTGTTCATACTTTGTATTGACCAACAACTGACCGACACTCCGTCCACCTGTGCTTGATATACTTAGAAACTATAAATACGCAACACAACTTCACAAGTAATATACATAACTACATAGATACAGGAAACTGTTGCTTTTTAAATGTCCTTAGGGTATATAAGCGCGCTCGAATATCCAGTATTTCTACACACAAACTTGTCTACGCGTCTCCAAACATATTCATGTAACACGTTTTTTTTGTAACAATCATTTTAATTACCTCAAGCTGCTATACTGTCAGAGCATTCATACATGTAACTGCAATGATCTATAAAAGTAAGTATATGCTGAGCTGTTTTCGTCATGTGTCTGTATGTTGAATGATAGCCAAAGTGGTGTAGTGGATAGAGCGTCCCCCTTTTTATTTCGAAAAAAAATCTTTATTTCTGTATAAATTACCACCAAAGACAATAAATAGATCTTAATTGTGCACCCCCCCCCCCCCCCCCCCCCTTTTCAAAAAAGCTGTATCCGCCCATGTCGTGGATAGAGCGTCTGCCTGGGAGACCGCTTCCGTGGTGTCGAGGATAGAGCGTCTGGCTGGTGAGCGAAAGGTCGATGGTACGATTCCCGGTCGTGGCATACCAAAAGACGTCAAGAGATGGTAACCTTCTAGGCGCTTCAAGGACCAATCGGCTCGGAGAGGGGTATCCAAGTTAAACTGTGGCTTGGTATCTAAGTGGACTTTTGCAAACCCCCATCGACGCAATTAAGGTTAGAGAGAATGAGAGAGAGTGAATGGTGCTGATACCAGCTTTGAACAGTTTTTCATTTATATCACGGCGTGTCGCCTTAATTTGGGAGGGAAGCCTGAAGTGATGCAGACATTAGATGTTTGGTGAAACCCCAAAAGGCAAGGGTTTGGTGCAGACAAATCAAGGTAAGGGATTCGAACCCACCATTCGAAGACTTACAGACATACTTGAACCACTTTGCCAACCACGATGATATGGCTAACGAACTAGGGGTGATACAGGGACCACGACCAGCGGCACGAGCAAGGGATGCAACTCACGCGGACACATAAGCTCAGCCTATTGTTGGAACGATGTCACATAAGATCGTCTTCGACGTCATGACCAATGACGTCACCAATGATTTCCGTAATGCGTCAAAATAACGTCTCATTGATATGTGCAGCTTTTTCTCCAATAATGAGATCAATTGAACAATTGATTCGACATGCATTACAAAATAATTACAGTACTGAGTGAGAATTACTGAACACCAATATCATTGTTCTTATGTGTAATACTAGTATTTAGGGCTAATCCAGGACGCAAACTGGCGTACATCGGATCCTTGGCCTGCTAAGGGGAAGAAACTCCACACAGTGGGTAAATTGTGTAGAAAGAGTAGGTGTGCATACCTGATGTCAACGAGAGTCATACGCATATAGGACCCGTGAAGATCCGGGTCAGAATAGGTCTTCAGCAACCCATGCTTGCCGTAAAAGGCGACAACGCTTGTCAGGGGGCAGGCTCGCTGTATGGGGTGGAGGAATGTCATCGTATTCCACTTGCGTGGATCGATGCTCAGGATGTCGAATATTTATGAATATGACTCGAACATTTACAGACCGCCGTCATATAGCTGGAATATTGCTGAGTGCGGCGTTAAACAACAAACAAACAAGGAAGAATCATACGAATATAAATGCATGGAGTCAGCAGTGAAAGACGTTAGGTTCAAACGTATAATGAAGCTGTTGACGGTGACGAAATATGTCCTAAATATACAGCTAATATTTTCCATAAACGACCACAAAGTATACATACTTACTTCACCAACCGCGTTCATTGACGTTCGCCACTAATCGCCACGTCACATTGGCTATGTGCAAATTGCATTTCTCAAGCGGCACACACTGAAACACCGTTCCGGAACCTCTTTAATAACCTTATATTGATTCAGAACTACTGCCTTTCTGTAAACAACAGCACAACATTAAGTCTAAGACATCCTGTTTATTTTATACATCGGGGCATACACAATTACAGCGGGTAGGTCTGTCGTTATGTGCTGCTCCTGAAATAGAGAAAGGTGTTTCAGAAAACACAAACAGAAATGAGTTCTTGTACATGGTATTGTAAACAAGAGCGACAAAAAAACTTCTATGATCATAAGACATCTCTGCGAAAAATGGTCGATGGTGCGATTCTCGACATATCATAATCATAATCATATATCACACAGCTATGATACCAGGATTCGCGGAAAGATGACCGAATGCAGCCCCGCATGCAGTGCTTGATGCACTTACTAAGCTTTCACATGATGGAGCAAGAAGTAGCTCTGAAACTACAAAGAATAAAAGAAGTTATCAATAAAAAAGCAATCTCATTAAAATCAGATCTTAGTTATCGCTACCTAAACAATGATCTGAGAACACCCCATAACGGGTCACGTCAGAACGACTTTGCGCGAACTTTGACCGACCAATGGAATGACTGACAAGAAGTCGACATTAGCCAATCAGAAGGCAGCTTTCTCGTGCTTTACGGCACTAATTTCAAATTGGCAACTACGCTTCGAAACATATTTTGACAAATTCTCGATTAAAAATTTGAAACCTGAATAAAAGAACATTCTGGAATGGCTAATGTATGGTCTAGATTGTATGGATTCAGTCGTTTAGCCCGTAACTATCGTTCGGAATACCCCGTGTTGCATGATTAGAAATCACATTCCGACTGTCACTTTCATGATCTGGTAAGCGACGCTCTGATTGGCCGGATAAAAAGGTCGTTCTGACGTGACACCTAATGGGATGTCCTCATATCGTTGTTTAGCGGTAGCGAGAACAAAGATATCATTTTAATGAGATTGATAAAAAAGAGTCATGTTTGTAATAACATCGTTGTTCCCCACCGCATCGGGCATATATTACTAAACCAGTGATCGATAAGATGAGCACCATACTCACGATGGGTAGCCACAGTGGCAGTACTGATCTATACAGTGGAATGACAACCACGGAAGAGGACACGTGCAGGAGATGGAGCCACTCAAGAATCTGGACAGACATTCGTTCCTGTCGGCACATATGGCTGATAATAAATAAACAAAGGTTTGTTTTGATAGAGTTGAATTCAATAAATTTAGTTTTACGTCACGTTGACCATTCTTTGCAACAATTATATCCTTCCATGATAAAAGTAATGTCATGTGCAGCAAAAATGTAATGGTCTAAAAATATAGTGAGTGGGTTTTGTTTTACGCCGCTTTGAACAGTATTCCAGTTATATCGCGGCGTGTCAGGTTGATGTGGGAGGAAAGCCCGAAGTGATGCAGGTCTCGGACGTTTACCACTTTGGTGAATGGGTATGGTGCTGACAATCCTCAAAAAACAACACTAAAAGTGAATTAGTGCTGAATGTAGGTATACATGCTTTTTCGTGTATGTTGTAAATATTTTTATATTAAGTAAACAGGAAGGGTACACAACGTTCCACCATTACTCCAACTTTCTGCATTAAGGTCACATATTCTTACTTTAAAAAAAATAAATATTCTATTAGCAAGGTGTTTATCGTAGCCTGGATGAAATTAAGAAAATGTATTTAATAAAAATATTTATTTTCATATTTTTCATTGACATTGTGTGGGTCGACAGAAAACATATGCATGTGTGTTCAAACATGTAGGGTGTTGCCACTATATTGCAAAAAGTACTAACGTATTGTCGCAGGACAATATTTAAGATAATAACTGAGATTTGATCACGTGTTTACTTTCCGGGTAAGCCCTGTCAGGCGACTTTTGGGGGGCTATTATTAGCAGCGTGTGCCGCGTACGTACAGTACCAGCACGAACTGAAAGAAAACACGTGCAGGTGAAGTATTTAAAGGGCTACTGACCAAGTTCTCTGCTAAAAATAGCCGCTCGCAGTCACTTGACTGTCGATTCGTACCCGGATTGTAACCACGTGATCAAAACTCAATGATGATTTTTATCGCTAGTAAAATGGACATTTTTTGAAAAGCGCATTTTTTATTTTTTGTCATTACTGTTAATAATATTCGGCGGAATGGCTTGTTTTCACTTTATAGTAGTATTTTCACTATAAGCATTGGCACACATGCAGCCATCTTCCAGAGGCTAGGGAGTTAACTGCAAACTGGACTATAGTCAGTTAACGCCCTTGCCTCTTGAAGATGACATGCATCCAGCTCCATTAAGTAATCATCGCGATATTTCGTGATTCGGTTTCAAGTGGGCAGGACTATAAGAATAGTACTTTCATTTTCCTTAAAATATCGAAATTGGATATGTTTTAGGCGCGCGTCTTACCAAGGTCCTGGTCTTTGTCGCAGCTATGGGTGCAGGTGCACTGGTCGTTGGAACAGATAAGATGACCGTCTGTCGCACAAAATGTGATCCCATGACAGTCAGACGTTGCGACACAAGATTCACGCTTGCTAAAGGCAGACACACCTGCTGTAAACAGACACTGTATGACACGATTGACGCTTGCTAAGTGCAGACACACCTGTTGTAAACTGACACTGTGTGATACGATTCACGCTTGCTAAAGGCAGACACACCTGCTGGAAAAGACAGTGTATGACACGATTCACGCTTGCTAAAGGCAGACACACCTGCTGTAAACTGAAACTGTGTGATACGATTGACGCTTGCTAAAGGCAGACACACCTGCTGTAAACTGAATCTGTGTGATACGATTCACGCTTGCTAAAGGCAGACACACCTGCTGGAAAAGACAGTGTATGACACGATTGACGCTTGTTAAAGGCAGACACACCTGCTGTAAACTGAAACTGTGTGATACGATTGACGCTTGCTAAAGGCAGACACACCTGCTGTAAACTGAATCTGTGTGATACGATTCACGCTTGCTAAAGGCAGACACACCTGCTGGAAAAGACAGTGTATGACACGATTGACGCTTGCTAAAGGCAGACACACCTGCTGTAAACTGAAACTGTGTGATACGATTGACGCTTGCTAAAGGCAGACACACCTGCTGTGAACAGACAGTGTATGACACGATTTACGCTTGCTAAAGGCAGACACGCCTGCTGTAAATAGACACTGCATGACACGATTCACGCTTGATCAAGGCAGACACACCTGCTGTAAATAGACACTTTATGACACGATTCACGCTTGCTAAAGGCGCAACTGGCAAACGATACGATGTAAGTAGTTGCAATTGAACATAGGCCTGTGTGTCGAGATGTGTTGTACATATAGGCCAGTGTGTCGAGATGTGTGGTATATATAGGCCTGTGTGTCGAGATGTGTTGTACATATAGGCCAGTGTGTCGAGATGTGTTGTACATATAGGCCTGTGTGTCGAGATGTGTGGTATATATAGGCCAGTGTGTCGAGATGTGTTGTACATATAGGCCAGTGTGTCGAGATGTGTTGTACATATAGGCCAGTGTGTCGAGATGTGTTGTACATATAGGCCAGTGTGTCGAGATGTGTTGTACATATAGGCCAGTGTGTCGAGATGTGATGTACATATAGGCCAGTTTGTCGAGATGTGTTGTACATATAGGCCAGTTTGTCGAGATGTGTTGTACATATAGGCCAGTGTGTCGAGATGTGATGCACATATAGGCCAGTTTGTCGAGATGTGTTGTACATATAGGCCAGTGTGTCGAGATATATTGTACATATAGGCATGTGTGTCGAGATGCGTTGTACATATAGGCCAGTGTGTCGAGATGTGATGTACATATAGGCCTGTGTGTCGAGATGTGTTGTACATATAGGCCAGTGTCGAGATATGTTGTACATATAGGCCAGTGTGTCGAGATGTGATGTACATATAGGCCTGTGTGTCGAGATATGTTGTACATATAGGCCTGTGTGTCGAGATGTGATGTACATATAGGCCTGTGTGTCGAGATGTGTGGAACAACTCTATTTGCGTTGTATATACTAGAACCCACTATGGCAGCACACAGTGCACAGGCCTCATTACCATAATATATACTCAACAACAAAAGTTCCTGTGACACCAATATTTAAGTGTATTTTTCGAACAAGGAAAGTTTGGTTTTCAATATTGTAGTACATGTATGGATTCAAGTCACAAAAACGCAACTGCTACAGAAAAGCATGCATTCCATGCAAAAGTTGACTTTTATGCAAGCCCCATGCATTTCATTACCCAAGAATGGGTATAAAAACGTGTGCGTTAACGGGATTCCATATGCGTTGTTTACCATGGTGCTGACAACCACTCAGAAAAAGAACAAAATTACGCAATTATTCAACATTACGAAATGCCACGCCTGTCCGAAAATGAGCGTCTGCGAGCCATTGGTATGCTTGAAGCAGGATCGAGTCAACGTGATGTTGCAAGACAATTCAACGTACACAGAAACACCATTTGGTGTTTCTGGCAACGTTGGCAACAGACGAATGCAGTCAGAGACCATCCTCGGAGTGGCAGGCCACGTGAACCAATAATCGACAAGACAACTGGATTCGAACAACACACCTACGAAATCGATTCCAGCCAGCAACAGTGGCTGCAAGAAGCATACCTGGCCTTCGACGAATATCTTCACAAACCGTACGTCGCCGCCTCAGATGTGCAGGGATTGTCGCCAGAAGACCCGTCAGACGTCCCATTTTGACAGGAAACCACCGTCAAGCACGTCTACAGTGGTGCAGGCAGCGTCTACGCTGGACGGCCATGCAGTGGGGACAAGTTCTATTCACTGACGAGTCTCGTTTTCACCTCAGCCACAGCGATGGACGGATTCGAGTGTACCGGCGTCGAGGTGAACGTTACGTCAATCATTGTGTCATGGAAGAAGATCGGTTCGAGGGCGACAGCGTTATGGTATGGGGTGGGATTACAGCAAGACAGAGGACCCGTTTGATAGTGGTAGAGGGAAATCTCAATGGACAGCGCTACCGCGACGTGATCATCGGCCCTGTTGTTCTATCGGTTTTGCGTCGTCATGGCCCAGGCATTACCTTTCAACGTGACAACGCCCGGCCTCATATTGCTCGACTTGTTCAGGATTCCATTCAACAGAACAACGTGAATGTCATCCCCTGGCAAGCTCGCTCCCCTGATCTCTCACCAATCGAGCACATGTGGGATGAGATGGATCGGCGCCTTCTGCGTCAACCACGTGTTCCACAGACACTCCAGGAACTTCGAAACATGCTCAAGCAGATATGGACAGATATCCCACAGGACTTTGTGCGACGCCTGGTCCATTCCATGAAACGAAGATATGTTGCTTGCATCGCAACCAGAGGTGGACACACACGCTATTGATTTGTAAATTGACATTTTGGCATGCTCATGGTTTTTTTATGAAATCACGCGTTTTCTGCAGTCAGTATGGCAAATTAAACCATTTGAACACTTACAGGAGTCTGTTTCAGATTTGGTAAAAAACATAACTTTGCATTAAATCTTATTCAATGTCACAGGAACTTTTGTTGTTCAGTATAGATATGACAGTAATGTACTATATTTAAGTGTGGCTGTAAGACAAATATAATCTTTTTCATAAAGTTCCTACTTCAGCTGTGACATATATTGACTAGTATGAAGTTACCTGCCAATGCCAGAACAGAGAGAATGCTGAGAGATCTCATGGCTGCTGGATTGTCCAAAACCAGAGTCTTCCTGCTCAGAACCTACTGCAGACAGTCCTATCTCAAACGCTCGTAAGCTGGTCACGGACGTTTTTGCCTCGTGGAAAGATATTTATATTATGTGATTGTCACGAATTCTGGTAGTGTTGTAACCTGGTTTGTGTGGGAATGCACGCCGTTCTTGTATTATCAGCAGCTTTGGCTTTAGATCTCTTACAAAAAGTGTAATCTATTGCTATACATAGTATCATGAATTTGGATGTGTCATGTTTAAGGATGACATACAGGCAAATGGATAACATGCACTTTATTTGTTTTTGCTTAATGAATGTGGTTATCGAAATCGTACAATCGACTGCTGTTAGCAAGATTTATGAATATGGAAAGGGTTTTGTCGCTTTTATCTAAAAGTTCTAATGTCAACGATTTATGTGAATGTCTAATGGTTGAGGAAATATTTGCAGATATTTCGAGACATATGCGTACCAGAATGCATCTATCGCGGGAAAAAAGCTCCAAGTCGTTAAGCGTTCTGTCTCAGAATATCCTCGATCTTGTCATCAATTCATCGTCAATTCATCATGAAAAATGTCCATGGTAAAGTATGCCGCCATCTTGAATGAATATAAAATTAACTTACGACAGGTTTGGGGGCTACGTTAGATTGACGACAATCTTACGATATCTTAGAGCTACGATAGTTTCGAAAAAAAACTACGATAGCCTCCGCTTTCCTTTCGATAACTTTACGATATTTTCAGGGCTGCGATCGTTTCGCGAAGAATACGCAAGCTCCTCACAGCGATAGCCCGTTCGCGAAGCTCTCTATACTGTCGCTGCCACCAGTCAAAACTCCCCACTGTGATAGGTGGCCCCAACCATGCTTGGAGTTGAACTCGCAACCGTTATATTTACAAACAAGTGATGACTGCCGTGACGCCGAATAGTGTTACCCTGCTAAACTATTTTCTTTGTTTGTCAATTTGAATTTCTGTTTCATTACAACTGTCACGTAATTGATATAGTAAGAATGTAAGTGGGAAGGTTGTTGAAGGTTCGTCTGCAATCTCGAACCAATCTGACCAAACAAACAGAACGGTAAATTCATCTGGGAAATATGGTCATTCGTATGATTGCATTCCCAAAGATATAAACAAGAGTATGAACGTTACTACATCTGGGGTTAGAAGGCAAATTTCAAGATTCGTGTAATGGCCGCGCCCACACCATTCGTGACCAACTCGTGTTATTCCGGGACAAGCCGAATAGCGACTCGTGCCCCTCTCATGGCCATTTTTGCGACCGGATTCCGTTTTAGCGCAAACGGGCATACCTAAAAATAATTGTCAAGTCGTCGGGTTATGGTTCACATATATTTCCCCATACGGTATATTATATATATTTCAGATGCAATTTAAAGCACATCTGGACATGCGGAATTATACAGTACGGTTGAACACATGTATCTGTGCCTTGGGTTTATTTTTAGGTGCAAGACATATGTAAAATCAAAACATATTTCTGAGGGATTCTTTGACGAAGAACTTGAAATCATACGCGCATTCTGATTGGTTTGTCGTATTTTCGCACATAACATTCATCGATAGGGGGACGAGTCTTCTTGCAGGTTACGGAAAGAGGCGAGTTGTGACGAATGATTGGTGGCAGCGATGTTACCGAGAGTGTAACGAAGGTGTCACGCGCTGGGATGGGGCTTGGTAACTTCGGGTTAAAGGCCTAGGGAGGCTACTCCAGCACAGCTGTTAACAGTTGCAGAATCTACTAACTGCTGTTCTATAAAAACAAAACTAGGAATAGGACAAACCTAATTTATCGACAAACTGTTACTCATACATCATATAGTCCCAGCGAGTAGGATACTATTTCCTGGAGCTGAAATGAAGAAAATATGCTTTTATCAATCCTTGAAACATCATACACAAAGGTGAAACAAAACCATAGCCTGTTATCGTTACATCATCCTCGATTATTAAGGGCATGTCTCAATTATATTGTTATAAAAAATCCCAGACCAGTTCGCTATCACAGTTTCCATTGGGAAGTGACAATACCATCTTCTTGTTCTTCCCACAGAATTTCTCTCGCACAAGTGTAATAATATTGGAATACAGTAAACTACGTTTATAACGAACACTCTTATAACGAACTGACCAATATAACGAACTTATTTCTTAGCCAAGGCCATTTGTTGTATATATGCTTATAACGAAGTACGGTTATTACGAACTAAAATAATAACCGTAGTTTACTGTATTTTTTTAGTTCGTGTCATTCGAATTGAAACTATTGGAGCGGATTCAGGGACTAACAAACCAGTGATCGATAATGTGAGCACCGTACTTACGTTGGGTATCCACAGTGGCAGTAACTGTCAATACAGTGGAAGGATCGCCATGGGCGAGCGCAATTGCAGCTAATATCCCCGTCCAAGAAACGGGCCAGACATTGGTTACGATTGGAACATTTGGCTGCGAAAACAACAAAACAAAATATCATTAAAGTGAGCCTTAATTGTTAGTGTTAGCAAATTTGATTCAAGTGTTTCCAAACCAATTTTCTTTGTGTGTAAACTGAAACTTTATGGCGTATCAATCTTGACATTGATTATTGCTCCAATTACTCAAAGAAAACGAGTCAATTACACACACGTTACTAAATACAACGTTAGACTCCGATTGCCACCGGATCGTGGAGGAGAGTCCCCCTTTAAGGATGCGGCATATGGTCAGAAATGTCGGTCATTGCTTCATCATACCGTATTTATAACATTTACAGCGACATCATCAACTCAAAGTCCTGGGTACCGTTGAACAATACAACCTCGTAAGTCTATGGTAAGGCATCTTCCCGAGGCAAGGGAGTTAACTGACTTTAAACGTCCAGTTTCCACCCTTACCGAACTAGCCTGGAATTACAGGGCTCGATCGTTGCGCCACCAGTGGCTATTACCAATTATGTCCCTTCTAAGCCTCTCCTATGGACCAATCAAATTCCACCTCTCGTATCACTTGCGTTTGCTTCACACAAAATGGTGGCGCCCAGTCAGGACGATCTGATCGATACTCAAGATCTATATTGTGATAAAACGGGTCTTACATCGCGAAATGCATCAAATCACGTGAGCACCTTGATTAAAAACATGAAAGGATTTGGAAAATATCTGCTGACAACGAATTGGCGATGCACATGCTTTGCAAACCCTGCAATCGATCGAAATCTGCACGACAGTTTACGAACCGGATTTTGATTTCGGTTCGCGATTTTGATTGAACTATGCATAGACTCGTTAGTCCAGACAAAACGTAACTCCATAACACCAGCCTAGTTCGGCAAGGGTGGAAACTGGACTTTTATAGTCAGTTAACTCCTTTGCCTTGGGAAGATGATGGTAAGGTATGGGATGGACGATCACCTTAGCGCTAAGACTGTCGTAAGTCTGTGGTAAGGTATGGGAGTGACGATCACATTAGCGCTAAGACTGTCGTAACTCTATGGTAAGGTATGGGAGAGACGATCACCTTAGCGCTAAGACTGTCGTAAGTCTGTGGTAAGGTATGGGAGTGACGATCACCTTAGCGCTAATACTGTCGTAAGTCTATGGTAAGGTATGGGAGTGACGATCACCTTAGCGCTAAGACTGTCGTAAGTCTATGGTAAGGTGTGGGAGTGACGATCACCTTAGCGCAAAGACTGTCGTAAGTCTGTGGTAAGGTATGGGAGTGACGATCACCTTAGCGCTAAGACTGTCGTAACTCTATGGTAAGGTGTGGGAGTGACGATCACCAAAATTAGCGCTAAGATCGCGTTGTACAACGGCATCCTGAACGTCCTGAAAAGTCCCAATTGATGCAGGTCTCAGACGTTTACCACTCCGGTGAAAGCCGCTAGCATGGGCATGGTGCTAATAGGGCATCAAGAACTCATTCCTTGAACATAGATTTCGGGCACGCCAAGGGACGCAACTCTGCACAACGAATCACTCGCTTCTTACCGAGGTCTTGGTCCGGATCGCAGACATTTGTACATGTGCACTGGCCGTTGTCACAGATGAGAGACCCTGCGGTTCCACAAGATGTAATCCCAGAACAGTCTGCTACGGTACTGCACGTTTCCCTTCGGCTGATGGCAGAGGCGCATGCTGTAAAAGAAAGAGCATTGCAGTGAGTGACATTCGTGACCAACTCGTATTATTCCGGGACTTACGGAAAGGGGCGAGTGGTGACGAATGCAGTGAGTGAGTGGATTGTTTTCGAGCCCAGGAGCGATGTTCTCAAGCTCCTCACAGCGATAGCCCGTTTGCGGAACTGTCTATACGAGAGTGTAACGAAGGTGACACGCGCTGGGAAGGAGCTTGATTCAAGCTATGGAAAGGGGAGATAATTGATTTTGAGCCAGGCAGCCTGGTTCCCTGGGTATGCCGCGCTCGCTCAGTGTAGCGCCAGCGCAGCATACCCAGGAAACCAGGCACTGGTTTCCAGTGGCGGCAATAATGAACATTATGAAGAGGAGTAAAATAACACAGTGAGCCAGGTTAAATTATTCGTTCTTACCAGACAATCCTCATGTCCCCCTCCATGATATTGCTGGAATATTGCTTAAAGCGGCGTAAAACCATACTCACTCACTCACTCACTATTAACGGCTCTAACGACACGCGGGGTATACAACGGGATAGGCTAACATGAAATGAACATCCAGAAACTGCAGTAATCTACACTTGCCCACTATTATAGACTTTCATGGGCTGTTTTGTACATATTGTTTCAGGGTCTGTATGACTAACGACGGGACTATTCTGGAAAACACCACGGGGTCGAACTACCCGCCACAACAGGCTTTGATAGACACCGCCATTATCAGGAATATCCCAGTTAGTTCATATCCGCCTTTGCAGGCTGATCGGGACTGGATGCGGACATGGAAATGTGGATTATTACAACAGGTAACAAGCCAGGGATAGCCAAGACTAGCTCAACCATGTCCTATTCAAATACAGTAGACATTTAGATCACCGGATATCAGTTTTAACTACCTCTACGACATTCAGGGTAGAAGTTGCGGCAGCCCTCGACTGGCAATTATTTTAGTATCTTCAAGTAAGATAAGCCCGAAATAGGGCTGGGACGGGTCCAAATTTACTACCCGGGTACCCACCACCCTATTACCCGACCCTACCCGGGTACCCGCTGTAGATGTTAAACTGTCCGTATTGGAAAAGTTTGACCGTAGCCCTGGCAAAATGTATTTAGATACACGTGTAAAACGATCTGGTCATGCATACACTGAAGTTTACTGCATGAAGTTTTATCTTTATTCAAACATAATAGTCAGGAAGAAATGAGAACATTAGTAACTTATAGTGCGACCATAGAGTTTTAAATAATTTGTTTCATTAAAGAATATATCACGTGACTAACCACGGGTCCGGGTTGTCCTGTAGGTACCCGGGTCCTACTCAGTACCTAACCGACCCGGGTACCCGAGTTACCCAGCCCTAGCCCACAATGAATGAACTGTTATATTTTCATCCCCGCCAACCTGACTACCAAACACCCACTACACATCATGTTATTGTAGGGGCACGGCTGGCCCAGTCGTCTAAGGCGCCGCGATTCGCTGTGCAGAGTTGCGTCCCTTGGGCACGCCAGAAACCTATGATTGTGGGTTCGAATCCCGGTTCGCCCCGATTATGTTTCTAGGTTTGTCAGCACCATGCCCGTGCTCGTGGGTTTCACCGAAGTGGTAAACGTCTGAGACCTGCATCACTTCGGGCTTTCCTCCCACATTAAGCTGACACGCCGCGATATAACTGGAATACTGTTAAAAGCGGCGTTTAACCCAACTCACTCACTCACTCACTCATATTATTGTACCTACAGACAGACCTACAGCCAAAGAAAATGATTATTCGTTCCCTTCTTTCTTTACTGACCGCCTCCTTGGTCTAGTCCGGAGAGCGGAAGGTCCGGGGTTCGATCTCCGGCCGCGTCATACCAAAAGACGTTAAAAGATGGCATTAACAGGACTGGTCTGGTCGGAGTCAGTAAACTGTGTCTGAGTGGGTTATTCATGTTAAACCGCGGCATGGTATCTCAGTCGGCTAGCACTACAAAATTGGCCTTAGTCCGGATTAGAACAAGCACACACACGTGCATATATGTCGCTATATAAGTGCAATAATCATGGACGCGACGTTAAATCCCATTTCACCTCACCTCACCTCTTTCTTTATCCCATGACATGCATGCCATTTTGTTTCAAGTGAGTCACATTCGACAGACTAATGTACAAAGATGCTTTAAGCAGCGTTAAAACAATTAGATGCCTCACATTTGACATAAGTCTAGTTATTAATTTATTGTTGTCTAATATAAGCTTTGTATTTACCTCTAAACAATCACACGTAGATCTAGTAAATAAATCAGTATTATTACTCGTAAAAATCTAGCTATCTGATTGGCCAGACGTGTTGATGTTACGTCACAACTGAGCCTGTCCGGGGACACAATGCAGATCGGAATAAAGATACATAAACATGGTTTTTTAAAACAAAATTGAGGGTGTTATTGAGTATTCTATGCCTGTATTTTTTATGCAATGTATGATAACTGAACTCGCTTGGTTATGACTTGCATAATGTGGAGGAATTATACGAAATCAAAATTATTCTGATAAATATTGACCAACATTAATATTAAATTAACGTTACACCCATTTTGCCATGTTTTTTTTCAAATTTGTAATTGATAAAAATATTATACATGTATATGAAAACGTATTCTTAAACAGTGAAAAGTCCAAAAGAGTTCTCTGATCCAATTTTTCAACTAATCAGATCAGCACACACATTCATTTAACAATGTCACATAAACGCATTTCACTAAACGTCTTTGTAACTTGTGAATTCGTAATGGTAAATTTGTCAAAGATGTCACTAGCGGGACGTTATACCAAACACAAGTGACATATGTAACTATTGGCAACCAGGCACGTGAACAAACCGTGACCTTGACCTTTATCTTTATCCGAAAACGTGTCAAGAAACACTCCAAATCAGACCATTTTGCTGATAAATTACCCGCACATAGCATCAATGCGGACTTCATCATAATGACGGTAATATCGCATCGCCTTCAGGCATGATTCAGATATAATATAAATATTAATTAATATAAATTTGAAACTATTGAGCTACACATATACCAGCATGACACACATTCCTGTCAGGTCTTGCTCAAGCCTTATCTGAAAATGTTTTAAGAAAAATATAATTCATCTTATAATGTTCCCATAAGCACTGTGACATATTGACTGGTGTGATGTTACCTGCCAGTGCTAGAACGGAGAGAATGCTGAGAGATCTCATGGCTGCTAGTTGTCCGAGAAAGAGTGTTCCTGCTCAAAACCTACTGGGACACTCCTATCTCACAACGCCCGTCACCGGCCAGATGTTTTTTCCCTGTATGATAAAACACGTGGTAGTTAGGTAAAGTTTCTTTGTCAAGATTTAGCGGCATAGGGTTGAAGTGCGGACACTTTCCGTTCTCGTCTCATGGATATTCTTTCCGTTCCGAACCCGTGAAGATCCGGGTTAAAATTGGTCTTCAGCAACCCATGCTTGTCGTAAGAGGCGACTAACGGGGACTGGCGATGACGTCATTGACGTGTGTGCCATATTACCTCCATAATGAATAAGTTCGCATTGATGCTAAGTACGGGATCCGTGAAGATATTGGGTAGAATAGGTCTTCAGCAACCCATGCTTGCCGTTACAAACGACTATGTTTGTCGTAAGCGGCGACTAACGGGATCGAGTGGTCAGGCTCACTGACATGGTTGATGCATGTCATCGTATCCCAATTGCGTGGATCGATGCTCATTATGTCAGTCACCGGATTGTCTAGTCCAGACTCGATTATTTACAGACCGCTGTCATATTGCTGGAATATTGCTGAGTGCGGCGTTAAACAAAAATAAAAAAAACAACTTAAAATTAGGATATTAGGTGATACATCGTGACAATGACAACTTCTGGTGCGGGTGCTCTGTATATAGTCACGTGACGAAAGATAAGCACATCTCAGTAATTTGGTGAGGAGGAAAACGCGAATCGATGAAGATCCGAGACGTTTACGTTTACAACATCATGGGTATGGTGCTTACAGGGCGAACTGGGATAATAATTTAGACAAATATTTGTCATTGCAAGTTACAGTATAGCCACACGTCGTGTAGTCTCTCAAACCCTGAAACAAATATCCAATTCTTTGGCAAGTCTACATTTCTTCAATTTCACACCCTTCATTTTGATCATATATTAGAAGACAATTTAGCAAAACCAACCATACACTAGAATTTTTTCAAAGGTTAAATGGTAGTCTAACACCCGCCCAGTACGGCTGATGTATGGAGACGATTTGTTATTGAATGAAACGTTCGTAAAATACCTATGTCAAACTACCCCCGACGAATGATGCTTGTGGCTCACGACTTGTGGCAGTGACGCTTGAACTTGCACGCCACTTTTATTTCTCTGATCACTAGGTGACAGCGTTTACGCAAATAGATGTGTAAGTGATAAAGGGTTAGCGCAGCTTCCAACAGTTTTTCAGTCATATCACGGCATGTCAGCAGCTCTTAGGCTCTTACACGTTTGTGAAAACCACGGTCGCGAGTATGGTAACAAACATTGTCATATTGGGATTCGAACTCCTACAGCGTTCATGGTGGCGTTTAATACCACTGTGCCCCCCTGAAATAATTCCAACACAGATAACATGGAAAGGGTACCCGGTAGGAGGAGATGGAAATGTGACTGTAACCTTCTGGCACCTCACAGCAGCTTGGGGTATACTCCCCGGGGAGTTGAGGATGTAAATCGAGTGCGCACTGATCCACTGACTGGGATAATAACACTGTAGCGCTAAGATCATTCACTTGAGTGGAATATGGCGTATTATAAATGGATTTCAGTAGTCTTTACGACTGACGATATCAAAATTACTGTTGCAACGACCAAGTCTTGACCAAAATATCAAACTATATATCGTAATTATTTTCATTAATTTGAAATTTTATTAATTATATTCCTCATAATCATTTAGAGAGGCAAATACAATTTCTGAAAATAAAATGTCAAATCTAAAATTATATAGAGCTGTGCAATCGCAATGGCTTTCTATGATTTCGCTGTCAAAATATATCTCCTGACAACGATACCATTGAAAATAAGCTCAGTGAATATACATGTGTCTACTGACAATGGTAAATTTGAATCCGATATCTAATGCTATACATGGACAATGGCATTTTTTGAATGTGATATCAGGTGATTTAATAGTGACAATGACAACTTCCGGTGTGCGTGCTCCGTATATATTCACGTGACGAATGACAAGCACATCTAAATAATTTTCTCGTTGAGATGTTTTTTTCTAATACTACCTAATGATACATTACCTTTCATGGCCGAATAAACAGAATTATCACTACACGGCGGATTGAAAAAAAAAAAATATAAAGTACAAAACAGGATCTGACAAAGTATTCTTGAGAAATTGTTCGGTGTTCATAGCTTAAATGACAACCATTTCTACATATCTTAATTCTTAGTGGATGAACCCGGTTTAAAATTTTGAAAATTATATGCATGTGTACTCGCATATTTTTCATAATTAAGAAAGGAAAAACAGTAAATAACTGTAAACGATGTGCATGTGTATTTATTTATGAAACAGTAGTTGTCAGTGATATAGTTTTTCTAATCTTAATCACTATCGATGTTTTCACACCATTCGTGACATTCGCTACCAACTCGTGTTCAGGTTACGGAAAGGGCCGAGTGGTGACGAATGCATTCGTGACCAACTCGTGTTATTCCGGAACAAGCCACAGGTTACGAAAAGGGGCGAGTAGTGACGAATGGTTTTCACACCGCACACAAAGCAGTTTGCTCACAACCTTACGAACTGGCTGTTCCTTTATCAATAAACATAGTGTGAGCGGTGGGTTCTACCGGTAGAGCAGGACATGCTTACCCTATTCGTGATCACCTGGTGACATCACTTTTTTTAGTGATACATTCATATAAACTTCGCCACTATTTTGCCTTTTACGTTCAAAGGAATCTGTTAACGCGGATAATAGAGACTGGTTATTCTCTGGCATTGACGTATGAAATTTACACCAAAAAAATTGTTTAATTATTAGAATTTTGTTTTTTGACCTTTAGTTACCGACTGATAAATTCATCTAATTAATGGTTAAGGCATTGCAGCGTGTATATTTTACCCGTGATTTCATTACCGCACGTGGAAACAGTCATGTTGAGTGAGTGCGTGCGTGCATGTGTGCGTGAGTGAGTGATATCACGTTTCTCGTTTCCACAATGGGATTCTAACACTGTGCCAATATGGGGAATCGTAACCGCGACGTCAGCCTAACGATCGAACCCTTTGTCGACTAAACCTGTACACATCCTCATATTTCACTGAGAGACGTCAGTGTGTTATTAGAATAATTATTCTCGACTGACTGCCATCAATCTGCAACATTTCGATTGTTTCGCAAACAAAAAACAGCCCGGATAATTATGCTGTGAAGAATATTTACTACTTATAGCGAAACATACATACCTCTGTTCTAAAATGAATGTATATATATATTATAACCTGGTTAAATGCTAGGAATAAAAGGGAGTGAGTGAGTATGGTTTTACGCCGCTTTTAGCAATATTCCAGCAATATAACGGGCTGCTAGAAATGCACCCCCATTAATAGAATAGCCTGAGATTACTGAAATACCATTGTACCATTTATGTCTATATCGTGGGAGATGCTGGTCACTTTAATGTGACCCGTGAAGATCCGGGGTAGAATAGGTCTTCACCAACCCATGCTTTCTATAAAAGGCGACTATGCTTGTCGTAATAGGCGACTAACGGGATCGGGTGGTCACTGGTCAGGTTCACTGACTTGGTTGATGCGTGTCATCGATCCCAATTGCGTGGATCGATGCTCATGATATCAATCACTGGATTGTCTCTTCCAGACTCGATTATTTAGTGACCGCCGTCATATAGCAGGAATATTGCTGAGGGTGGCAAACAGTTTGTTTGTTTGTTGTTTAACAAACAAACAGACAAACAAACAAACAAACAAACTGTCACTTAAATGCGCATATTTCCGTCAGATTTATAGGGCCTGCACCAAATTTGATTTTTCGAAAATTATGAATTAAATACAGGATTAAACAGAAAATTACGCAACTAAAGTCAAATGTTATCAGGTACATAAACTTCCATGGTTCTTAATTCAAAACATACATTTTTTTCTAACTTATCTTTTCAAAACCTGAAGTTAAAATTTCACATTATTCGCAGTGCAATCACATGATTGATTCAAAATGTTATTGTGGTCTGCCTTAACTGTTGAAAAGCGTTGGTTTTCAACCTTGAAGTTCGAGGGACGGTGGGGTAGCCAAGTGGTTAAAGTGTTCGCTCGTTTTGCCGAAGACCCGGGTTCGATTCCCCACATGGTACAATGTGTGAAGCCCATTTCTGGTGTCCCTTACCGTTATATTGCTGGAATACTGCTAAAAGCGGCGTAAAACCATACTCACTCACTCACACACTCGAATTTCGGTATGCAATATACTTCGACGACTGGTTTTCAAATGTTTAGGTTTTCCATAGCGTGTATACTCACAGGAGATAATAATGAGAATAAAGTCGTGGCACTCTTTATCATTTTAGTAAACACATACAAATATAAACATGAACAGAATTGATATACAGATCTGTTGTAGAATACCTCTTACTCTAGTCAGTTGTAATACTCTAACTGTATTCAACAAAACGGGTCAGTGTAATTGCGATCACGATCTTACGGATAAAAAGCTGATATTGACAAAACATGTCTGTCACTGCAGACATATTTTATATTAGGACGGGGCAAGGCTCCCCCAGCCGTCCACAGCAGTTGCGTCCCTTAGGTGAGCCAGAAGCTCAAGATAACAGTGAGTGAGTTTGGTTTAACGCCGCTTTTAACAGTATTCCAGTTATATCACGGCGTGTCAGCTTAATGTGGGAGGAAAGCCCGAAGTGATGCAAGTCTCAGACGTTAACCATTTCGGTGAAACCCACAAGCAGGGGTATGATGCTGACAAACCTAGAAACATAATCGGGGCGAACCGGGATTCGAACCCACAATCATAGGTTTCTGGCGTGCCCAAGGGACGCAACTCTGCACAGCGAATCGCGGCACCTTAGACGACTGGGCCACCCGTGCCCCCCTCAAGATAACAAATACACCCTGATTATAATATTGGTTGGGGAGTGAGTGAGTATGGTTTTACGCCGCTTTTAGCAATATTCCAGCAATATCACGGCGGGGGACACCACAAATGGGCTTCACACATTGTACCAATGTCGGGAATCGAACCCGAGTCTTCGGCGTGACGAGCGAACGCTTATAC